TCGATGCAAGAACACTGAAAGAGGAAATGATGACTTGTATAGTAAAGAATTTTGATAATACTTTCCCAGTGTGCTAACTTGGGTGGGTGGGCTTACTTCTGCATAAATTCAGGTTTGGTAAATAAAAAAATTCTGGTGCATAAATGTAGAAGTTGTTTCCTGTAATTTCTCATAATGTACTTCTCTATTCGGTTTATATTTGTATTCATATCCAATGCATCTTTGTCCAGTGTGGAATGATTTGTAGTTTCCAGGGACTAGTTCATCTTCTTTAATTGGACTTTGATAAGTATTCGAACTTCGAAGGGACAAAGACAATGGGAAAAGTAGAAAAAATGTTCAAGCAAGGCGAGTTTCCGAAGTGCAAGTACTTCAACATGTTTTAGAAATGCTCCTCTCTTAATAAATGTAAAACCTACTTTAAAAATGAAAACTAAGGAGTTTAGTAGTTACTGTGATCTACAATGGAAATGTTTTCGAAGCCATTCAAAACTTTGTGAATTCTTTCTAATTGGTTGATGAGTCCTAAAATCTGGAAATGTTGTTGTCAATGTCATGCTGTCTATGTGCACTTTTCATGTGATATACCCTTACATGAGCACAGAAGGCTGTCCCTTGTATTACAGTTATTGGAAACAATGTTGTTCAACAATGGCAACATGGTATGATCAGCTTATACATGTTAACAAGCTTACTAAACTGAAAAATACTTCGTTTCACATTAAGAAGATTACTAACCTGTAAAATGATTCGACCAGTATTTTGTTCACTTGATGATGGTGGTGATGAAGGATCTCTAAAGATTGCACTTTCAAATATTTCACATCTCTTCTCTATGTTATCCATGCGTCTTTTCATTGATTCATTTTCTTTTCGACTCGCATTCAGTTCTTCTAACAGTACATCCTTTTCTTTTCGACTCACATTTAGCTGTTCTAACAATGCAGCTTTTGCAGAGCTACCTCCTTTCAAATTTTTACTAGTAATCCCGCCACCAAATCCAACAACATGACTCTTGCTCTGAGGTCCGAAGCATCTCTCTACTACCTCAATATTAGTAAGTGATGGCTCAACTTGTAGTAGTTCCTGAATTTCTTCCTGTAAAGTACAAGAAAATTTAAAGATAGTGCAATATATCAAGTAAAAGTATGTAAAATAAAATTTTAAAATGAACATACGTATTTTTGATTGGTTTCTGGTTCGAGAAGTTTGTTGTCCTTCTTACGAGTCTCAAACAAGATAGTCGCCATGTCCGGTGGATTACCATGCTTGCCTCCCTTCACATTCAAACAAGCAGTCATATACTTGAAATGAAGAGTACCTTTCTTAATAGGATTAGAAGAATCACATACGTACCAACTCATAAATTATCTCTCTAATCGGCTTGCTACCCGTACAATGAGGCATACTCAACTTAGACCTGTTCATTTCATTTCGCGTACTTTTTTCCTATATTAACAGCACATCAGCAACATTATGATACACAATTTGAATGGCTGGTTAATAAATATAATGTATGTTTTGTTGGGTTGCTGGAGATCAAAGTCAAAGAACACAAATTCAAAGCAAGTATAACAAGAGTGGCCAAGGGATGGCATCATGCTAATAACTATGCTTATGCAGCTATTCTGGAGATTCATGGTCAGTATATTCACTGCTCTGCTGACAACCGAACAGATTTCCATAGTACTTTTAGTGTAGAGCGACAAAATTTATGGACATAACAGATTCCAACTAATATGAAGGCTAGTGGTAGACAATTTACATGGACAAATAGGCATGTATGGAGTAAGATTCATAGAGCCATTTGCAATGATAAATGGATTATCAACTATGGTAACATTACAACTCAATTCAAGGAGAATTTTTTCTCAGATCACTCACCTATATATATCCATATGGAAATCACTGTTAATACAAATCAGAAAAATAAGCCTTTTAGATTTCTGAATATGTTACATGTTTCGGTTTTGGGAGCCGCTAAAAATGATGAAGCAACATGGAATGGGTAGTGTGGATGATCAAGTGGAGGAATCCAACGAAAAGTTATTGGCGATCCAGTCATTGATTACTATCCAGACTAGTATAGGTTTGTAGGATACAGAGAAAGAAGCTCAATTGCAGATGAATAGATGGCTAACTGTTTAAGAGAAAATATTGAGACAGAAATCAAAATGCTATAGCTATGATTAAGGATGCCAGTGGGAATATCCTACCTTCAATTTTTCAGATAGAAAATGATCTTTGACCAACCATTCCCAATCACTCTTGTCGACCCCCTCTGGCACATCTTTTAGAACCTCTCGCAATGGCTTAGACTTCATATTCATGTGTAGAGATCCTCTCCAATTGTTCCACAACCTTCTCATATGTTTCAATACATGATCTCTATGACCAATCATGTCATCACTATCAAATTTTTCCTAAAATATTTGGCAGATTTCATTAAACAAGAGACTCAAAATTTTAAAACAAATCTTAGAGACAATAAATAATCAGCAAGGTTGATACACTTGATGTGGTGTGCTGAAAACAGAGGGACAATTGCAGGTTATGGACAAAACAGAGGGACAATTGCAGGTGATGGACAACACATAGGGACAATTGCAGACAATAGACAGTTAACATAGCATAAGAACAGAGGGACAATTGCAGGTTATTGACAAAACAGAGGGACAATTGCAGACAACAGACAATTAACAGAGCATAAGAAAGAAAGAAAGAAGAAAGAAGAAGATGAGATAAAAAATCATACATTGCAGTCTCTTGAAATAGTGTCGCAGCAAGATAAGTTAAACAAAGATAAATGTTTGGAATGAAGTAGTGAACCATTTGGAGAGAAGTCGAGAAGTGATTTACGAAGTAACAAATATAGTTACTGTCAACCTCCCTAAAGCAGAAAAGTGATACAAGTTTGATTCTACGAACAATATTTCAATGACATTGGATAACAGTTTGTAAAGTATCAGATGTCAGTTGTGAGGTGACTGCTACGTAGGGTAGAGTACGTATTTCTAATCTCATTACTAAAGCAGCTTGACATTTTACACCAGGTAAAATTTGTGCAAACATTAAACTTCTGCAATATAAAATAATCTCTTACTGATATGTTACACCAGGTGATTGCACTTTACATCTATTCCTATATGTTCTGATATATTGCAGAGAAGGTCAAATAAATGAACCAGCAACAAGATTCAAGAAATGCAATTCAATCAGTAGTATTCAATTAAATCCTTACAGTGACAGCTCCCCACATGTGTTCCAATTTAGCTTCTTCGATGCCTGTCCATGAGTGTACTCGCAAAGGACACATATTATGATCACGAACTAAGGAACCTAAGTGTCTCGAAAATAAAGCGTGATGATCCCCAACAACTCGATTGTGGTAAAAAGTGACTCTAAGCTTTTCTCTAGGTTTGAGTCCTGTAACAACTTTACACAAATTTGGTCCTCTAACCTTTTTTATCCTGTCAACTTCACATGAACCTACAAGTTTTGACATATGTCAAACATTACAGAATCTCAATCTAAAAACAATGAAGAAGTTCTAACAGTTCAGAGAGTTAAATACCTGCTTTACTTCTCCGAGTGTCTTGCATCACTTCAACTTCATCTTGAGGAAGAGTAAGATCATCTTCCATTGGATCTAACCCCAAAGGAACACGATTATTATTTTGTGTGAGTTCATTCAGATCATACTCTGTATATTTAGAATCTTTATTTTTCCATTCAAAGTTCTCTTTTCAGCACACCTTCTCGGAGAGCCCACATATGTAAAGCTTTGTGCTCGCTCCCGTGCTAATAAAACGTTGAAATAAACTCAATCCACTAACAACAAAATGAATTACCTACTAAATTAAGTAGTTGTGTCTTGCCACCTTTTAAATTAAGTAGCTGTGTCTTGCCACCTTTTAAAGCTTTTCCAGGTTGACAAAAGATCATTAAACCTCCATCAGATTCTATAGCACCCCCATCATAGTTTCGTTCAAGGAGATTAAATTTTGTTTCCATTGTATGCAAATACCTTGAACATAAGGTTGTAAATTCATTAGCTATATATCCCTCTGCAATAGATCCTTCAACGCAAGATCTATTATGAATAAAAAGCTTCAAAAAATATAACCATCGCTCTACTGGATACATTGATCGGTATTGAACAGGTCCACCAATCATAGCCTCATTAGCTAAATGAATTGGCAAGTGCTCCATAACATCAAAAAATGCAGGAATGAAAACCTTTTCTAACTTGCATAGAGTTTCAGGAATTTGTGCTTCTATTTGTTCCAACTCCTCAAGTTTTAAGCACTTTTCTCCAAGCAGATTGAAAAACAATGACAACTCAATTAGCGGCTCACGCACTTCAATGCATAGCATACTACGTATGGCAAGTGGGATTAAATGTTGAAGAAGAACATGACAATCATGACTTTTTAATCCTGAGATTTTGTGATCTTTCATATTGATACAGTGAGAAATATTTGATGAAAATCCATCTGGAACCTTAAAATCCTTCAAAAAACTTAAAAACTTGTGCTTCTCTTCAGGAGATAATGTGAAACATGCTGTCGGACGTCGGTAATTCATATTTTTCTCCATTTCTTTTTGGATGTAATTCTTTCATGATCTTCAATTCTTGCAAATCCAAACGACTACTCAAGGTGTCTTTTGTTTTGCCTTTGATATTTAAGATTGTTCCCAAAATATTATCACTTATATTCTTCTCAATGTGCATCACATCTAAATTATGCCGCAACAACAGAGTTTTCCAATATGGAAGGTCAAAAAATATACTCTTCTTATTCCAATTATCACCTCTACTATCATGTGATACTTTAATCTTCTTCTTTTGATCATTTATTAGAGGTAACCCATCTAAATCAGCCACTTGATCAAGTATGTCCTCACCAGATAATGTATTTGGAGGTAATCCCAACTCTGCAGTACCATCAAATGGCTTCTTATCGCTCCTCCATTTGTGATTAAGGGGAAGAAAGCGTCTATGACCCATATAACACTGTTTTTTTACCATTTGTCAATCTTTTTGAGAAAGTTTCTCTATTACAACATGGGCAAGCCAATTTTCCTTTTGTACTCCAACCAGATAAATTTCCATATGCTGGAAAGTCATTAATGGTCCATAATAAAGCAGCATGCAACGTGAAATTCCGTTTAGTGGACGCATCAAAGGTACAAACTCCAGTTTCCCATAATTCTTTTAATTCATCAATCAAAGGTTGGAGATAAATATCAATTGCATCTCCGGGACTTCCAGGACCGGGAATAAGCATTGACAAAATAAAATTTTCCTGCTTCATGCATAACCATGGTGGTAAGTTATAAGGAATAAGTACCACAGGCCAAATACTATACGGAGTTCTAGAACAGCCAAATGGTTGAAAACCATCACTAGCAAGTCCAAGTCTAACATTACGAGGCTCCATAGCAAATAATTGATGAAGTTCATCAAAAAAATTCCATGCTTTTGAATCAATCGGGTGCCTCATAATTCCATCATTAGCTTTGTTTTCATGATGCCATCTTATTAAAGGAGATGTATTTGAGGACATAAACAATCTTTGAAGTCTTGTCTTTAAAGGAAAATAGCGTAAGATCTTGTATGGTATCTTTTTCCCCTTTTTAATTTTAGATTCCCTATTATGTTTATCCTCCTTCCATCTAGATGCGCCACAAATTTTGCAAGAATCAACAAACTTGTCATTCTTCCAATATAGCATACAATCATTCCTACATGCATCGATCCGATCATATAAAAGCCCTAGGCTTTTAATTAGCTTCCTTGCTTCGTAATATGAATCTGGCAAGTTTGATTTATCAGGCAACAAATCTTTCTTTAACATCTTCAATAACATATTAAATGAGTTATTACTCCAACGACCAATACTTTTAATATGAAGCAATTTCACCAACGTAGAAAGTTTTGAAAGTTTTGAACCTTCGTACATGGGTTGATCAAAATTCTTTAAAAGACTATAAAATCTTTTTGCTTCAGGATTTGGTTCCTCCTCGAGAACATCATCATCGCCAATATTCATATTATCTACATTAAAAAAAGGATGTAAATCTGTGAGAATGTCATGTATTTCATCCTCCTCATGATCCTCGCCAATTTTATCATCGTCATTTACAAATTCGGAATCTGGTTCTTCTGTCTCACCTATCGTCTCTCCATGGTGATACCAAAAGGTATAATTTTGAATTATTCCATGTACTATTAAATGTGATCTAACAATCTCTCGTGTTCGAGACACTACATTACAACATTTGACACATGGGCATCTTATTTCATTCGCTTCCCTCAATCTTGTAAAAGTATAATTCAGAAAGATTTCTACCCCATGTATATAAGCATCATCAAGTCTATTATGAATAAGTTGCATCCATTTCTTATCAGGTGCCATAATATTATCTAGAAAATAAAATATGGATCAAAAGTATTTCAGTACAAAAATAAAAAACGAGCAACAACTAAAAATATATTCAAAGGCCAAGAACTAATACATTAATTAAACAAGTTGGAGAGGGGGTTGACAAACCTACAAAATAGTGGTATCTCATGCACGCTAAGATACTCGAATAATATAATCACTTTTTGGAGTATTTGACTAATGAATAAAGATTCTAAAGCAGATACAGAATGGTAAAGGCTGAGGTGTTTTGTATCAAAGATGAAATTAAAAAAAAGGCTGATTTTGCAACATCGATTTATGCACTTTGGATAGAGAGAGGAATACGAGAATATTTCAGAACAAAGCATCTACCAAAGAGATACCACTCCATCAGATGAAGTTCTCAATATGTACAAAAGAGATACATAGCCATCGATTATTCAGTTTCATTTGTTCCCTATGAAAATACTGTATTAGCTGAACGTAGGTATAATGTTTATCATCAAATTTTTGAATTTGTTCAAAATTTTGAATCTGTTTTCAAGTAGAGTAGGATACTGAGAAGGGACATAATTTTGTAGTTTGCCCTCATATTGTAAAGCTCACTGAAAATGAACAAAAAATTGCTTTAATTGTCAAAAAAATTGGTGAAGAAGTAGAGCAAATATAGCCAACAAGAAACAACTTTCCACTTATACCACATATGTTCATCTTTTGAGGTCTAACCCATCAATATAGAAGGAAAAGGAAAAACATAAATGGCCTCAAAGAAGCTAATCCACCATTCAGTCTATTAAATATAATAACATACAAGTCACATAGGCTACTACTTATTCGGCATATCAATAAAAATCATAAGAAAGAACAGATGAATAGAAGGAAAAAGAACAATAGATTTAGTTCATACATATTACATAAAGAAGCACATATTAGACAATATTGAAATTCCTAACCAAGCTTCTTTGATGGTTAGGAAGATTCTTAACATGAGGAATATTGGGGACAACAGGAGATCATAGATCAGGTAGTTCATGAGGGTATATTTCAGATCACTCAAGCTTTTTAAAACTGAGAGGAGATATCAGTAAAGTACCATGAAGAGACCTAAAATATTATATTATGGCTGAACCTAAACAGGTGTTCATACGGTGTCTCACATTACATGAAAAGCTATGAACAATCTACTGCAGTGGGGAATGATATTGGGTCGCACGTGTGTATTCTGCCAATCTATGCCTGAAACTAATGACCATCTACCAATCACTGCTCTGTTTAGCTCACTCTAGATTAATTAGAACATTGTCGATTTATATAAACGATCAGGCATATACGATGACTAAGAAGTACGACACAAAACAGATTGTTATTATAAAAAAATCTGATAGAATGAGAACAGAGACCATCTCCGATCTTTATGATTAATCTGAACGACTTGCTCTAGCTGACTTCTAGGACAATCTTAGCAGCAAAAGAATTATCGAAAAAAACAACTCACAGAACAAAGACTGATCAGTTCAAGTTATATGATTTTAAAAGTTGGTTCTGCCGCTAAAAATCAAATCGTCACATCTAGTTTAATTTATAATTTGATCCAGTTTGAGATAAAGAGCAAGCATGAGAAACCATTCCAAAAACAATCTTAACAATCCTAATTATACCTAAAAACCTACCAGCTTCCCGTTTGATCTACAAGACATTATGTGGCTGACTTCTCAAATAGTCTTACCAATCAAAAACAGATTAGTTGAAGTTAGATGGATGCAAAATTGATGCTGCCGCTTAAGAAAAAATCAATACATCAGTTTATTTTAAAATTAAATTTCACAAACCAAAAGCAAGAATGATCAGACGACATATAGGACGCCAAAAACAAATTAAACGTTATAGAATACAAAGAGATTAAGAGTTTTGGCAGAGAGAAGAGAACAATCACTTACTGTTGATTTTGTAGAGGAGAATTTTCTCAGTTGATTTGCAGATTTGATGCTATCGGTATCTCTGTTTGAAGGAGAGAAGATGAAGAACTGCTCTTTAATTAGATTCAAAGTTATCTATGTTCTCTCTTATGAACAGAGAAAATTGAAACCCTGCTTTGCGTCGTGGATCTGATGAGAAACGTATAAGTTCAGAAGAGGCAGATTATCTCTAAATAAACTGGAGGGAAAAATTTCAGAAGAGGCAGATCTTAGCGCGTCCTTTTTCCTAAAGTTATTTGTAAATTTAAGTTTTAACCCAAATATAATTTACCTACAATAAATGCTAAAAAAAAGAAAACACAATATATATATATATATATATATATATATATATTTACAAATAACTTTAAGAAAAAATTAATTAAATTTTTTTAACGACCGGAATAATATTTTATAACGACTAAATATTTATCCCCTCGCTTATAATAAATTAAAAACTACTTCTACTGACCAAAAAAAAAATTCGTTATAAATACACCTTTTACGTATTAATTAAATTTTTTTAACGACCAGAATAATATTTTATAACGACTAAATATTTATCCCCTCGCTTATAATAAATTAAAAACTACTTCTACTGACCAAAAAAAAAATTCGTTATAAATACACCTTTTACGACCGCATATATGTCCCTACGTTAAGACATGGTCGTTACAATACACTTTTCTTGTAGTGCTTAAATAAAGATCTCAAATTTGAACTTTCAATATAAAAAAATCCTTCCATCCCAATAAAATCAAATTAATGAAACTTCAATATCAAATGATAATTTTTTAAAAAAAAAATGCCAAAAAAGTCAAAAAAAAATACGGCCATTTACAGTTACTCCACTTACATATAGTTTCCTCTAAAGTTCTTTTAACAAGTTGTATTCGATTCTCCATGCTTTTGAAAATTAAATTATTAGATTTATATTTTAATTTTATGATAATTTTTAAAATTTAAAATTAAAATAAATTTATTTTTAATTATAATTTTTGTATTGTTAAATTATTTAAATTCTTAATCATTATAATTTATAATATTTTTACATAGTCTATAAAAATATAAATTTTATTTTAAGAACTTTGAATATTCTATACCCAAAATTGAGTTTCTAAAATTTTATAATAATTTTGTTTACGACCAATTTATTATAAATAGGATTTTCATGATTTGATTTGGATGGATTCTTTTATTTAAAATCAAAATTAAATTAATTTAATCGGTTTTAAAATTTCTAAAACAAATCAAATATAAATTATTGCTTTGATTTAGTTTTTCAACTTATAACTAGCTAATGATAAATTGATAAGATTAAAATAACTTAAATATGAGAGATGTAACTATTTCAAATGAACATTATGAATCGACAAATTTCTCTTTACTATTGCAAGATGGATGTGTCTCAATATTTTACTATCATTTTTCAACATTATTTCAAATTTTTAGCATGTTTAAATTGCATAGCTATAGATAATATACAAAATAATATCCTAACTTCAAATAAAATGATTAACTAACTCTTCCAAAAAAAAAAAAAAAAACAGACAATATACCACACCACCTATAGACCAAACAGGAAAAGTAGAGTGTTGAGGTTGAGCATCCTTCCAGAAATAGAAATAAAAATGTTGTAGTGCATGTGGAACAAGTAGACTCAAATTAAATTATGGAAAAATTACCTAAATACACATCTCATTTTACCTTAATTTCTAAAATTCTCTATTATTTAGAAAAAAAATAAAAATTTCCTCTCGGATACATCACTTCCCTCTCGTTGATACATCCCTATCTCGCTCTAGGATATATCACTTCCCTCTCGCTGATCCATCCCTATCTCCCTGTCGGATACATCTCTCCCCTCTCTGATACATTCCTTCCCTCTCGATTATATCCTTACCCTCTCTGATACAACCTTCACTTATATATCAAGATATCTTATCCCCTCTCGGATACATCCCTCCGCTATGTATTAGGATGTTTGTTGATGTATCAGGAAGTCTAGTGATGTATCTACAAGTCCAGTGATGTATTCGAAATCCATAAATTTTAAGGGATTCTTGTAATTTGAAAAATATAGGGAAATAATGTAATTAGCTCTTAACACTGTGACATTTATGTAAATTATACTTAAATTAATGATTAAAAGGTATGAAATATTTTATAGTTATTTATGAAAACTAATATCATATGTTTATAATTATAAAAATTTATGTGTATAATTTATTGGTTTGATTTGATTATTTTATCAGCTTTTTTAATAGTAAAACTCGAAATCAAACCAAATATTGTTGGTTTAAAATATTCAAAACCAAACGAAATCTACTGTTATTTTTTTTAGTCGGCTTGATTTGATTTGAAATGTGTTTCAGTTTAATTTTTAACTAAATCTTGAATATATCTACTTATAAATATTCAATATTTTGTTTAACGTATATATGGTCTGAGCAAATATAGTTAATTTCATGTTAGTCCATCTATTATATTGTGTACTCACCTATAGTGACCGAGGTCATTTTAATTTTTCTATGATTAATTAGTGAAAACTCTTATCTTTGTTTGATATTGTTAATTAAGTTGTTTGACCCAGGTCATTTTTAATTTTTTTTCTATGATTAGTGCAAACTCTTATCTTTAATAATTTAACAAGTATTACTAATCAAATATGTGTATAATTAACATTTATTAATTGATAAAAGTGCAGGTAAAAGATATATGTTTTTCCTCTAGGCTTTAGTGGTTCTTTGAAGGTTTTATTATTTTAAAACCCAAGACCCACTTATCGATTAAGATGTTCCGGTTAGTCATATTATTGTTTTTTATTGGGAAAATTAGCATATATATACTAGTTAATTAATCATCATTGCTATAGTTTTAGTTAATTATCATTCGCGATCAACATTCAATGATAATTACATGGGTTGGGGTGTCGAATTCGTATACTTCGCACGTTTGTATATTTCATAATATATAAAATATAATTTGTATGATATAATTTGTATAATATAATTTGTATAAGTGTTTAAAGTTCAGATATGTGTGTTTGTATAAATT